TGTTATAAGTAAGGTGGTAACTCGTGAGCTTCTGGGGTACCTTTAACGGCAGTATGTTTTCCGGCACCAGCGATCCACCGGGAACCTCGTAGCTTACGTCACGAAATGATGGTGTAAACTCATCCAGTGTCATGGTGAGTCTTATGTCACCAAAGCGTTCGTTCAGGTGGCAGCATGGTGCCCTCATATGCAAACTTCCATTCTATGACCTCCCAGAGGATCTTTGCATATGCGTGGCTGACTTCCTCTCTGGTCGCAAGATATTTATCTTAATTGATGGATTCTCCTCTTCATGCCACACCATCAACGAGGTCTTGGATCCGAGACTGTTTCTCTTAAATATCAACGGCCTCCTTTACTATACGGTCAATCCAATCCACAGCGCTGCTGATGACGGCACTCTACATGCAGGAATTCAGAGTGACAAGCCTATCTCTCCCGGTGAGCTGTAGGAAAGAAGGCTAGCCTTTTACGACGAGATACCTGGAGATTATCACTGCCTGGGGATGCAACAATCTTGTACAGTTTGATGCTTCCAGTTCTAACAAAGAGTTGTTAGTCTTGTCGATAGCGGCGGTGATCTAGCTCTCTTCTACCCTTACGGTAATGGACTTTGTTATTCAGAGCTCTCCTCTATGATGCCACCGCGTGATGAGCCTGCCAGACAGATCCGCTTGGCTTCTGCCTTCAATCCTAGCCGTATCAAACTTCGAATATCCAGAACTGGTCAATACGACCGCTCCTTTTGTCCCTACGGTATCAAGCTTGTGGAACATCTACATGAGAAGAAGTTCTACTAACCATAGGCAGTTAAAAAATTGGGTTAACGAAGTTTCTTTAAGCTTCTAACATTTAGGCTACTACCTGCGCGGCAGCTGTGGCATAAAGAAGATAAAGGAGACACTGAATCATGAGTCTAAGTGGTCTGAAGCTTATTTCCCTCACAATGTGAAGAATTTTTGGAATCGATGGCATTCCGTTGAGCATTCGGCCATAGCTTTTATTAGGCTCTTAAAATGTCTTATGCTATTAAACTAATAGAGCTGTTTTTAAGCTATAAGTATGACTATATACTATTTTGTGTGACTGTGAGTGACAAAAAAAGGTAAACGTCTACGTATTTTTATTAGAATTCAAGAATCTTTCACATATCTATTTATCATGCCATGAACGACAAGTGACAAAATAGTCAGGTTTTTCTGTTAAGTTTTTGTGGTGGCTGCGTGTATTGTTTCGTGTTAAAGAAGCATTCAGTTTTCGTATATTTACGATATCAGTTGTGTTGTGTTGTTGTTGGAGAGAACAGTACGCCCTGAACTCTACCACATTTATTTAGCAGAACCAAAAATTTACCAATATAAAAATAATATATATCTATACATTAACGAAACATAAACAAGGTTTCTCTATAATATGTGAGCGCCTAAGTTTAAAAACTTGTATGCGCAAAAAAAGACCAAAACAGTAATTAATTAATAAATATCGTGCAATATATATTTTTGTATAAAATCACTCAACTATACAAACAAAACATGATACACGATATACACAAAATGAAAGAAAATTTCATATTTTTGTAAGTCATAGATTTAACTTATGATCACAGAAAAAAAGTGTCACAATAATATCAAAAAGAAAGAGAAGAAACAAATAGGCAGATCATTCTACCTCAAAGCAACTTAAAATAGACGCATAAATTGTTCACGATTTTCCCAACAGAACATATTAAACGAAACATTAATTTTTTTATTATTTCCAATATTCCTGATATTAGCAGGAATCAAATTGTAAAATTTAGGTGCAAGATATGTCACAAAACGCAAATTTAAATCTCGCCTGGACTGCGGGACGTTCAGGTTATGAGTGGTGTTTGCTCGGGTCATATAATTGTGGGACACATAATTTGTATTTAATTTCCTACTTGCATGTACAAAACTACATACTGCAAGGATATATAAGATTTTAATATTGTTTATTTCTTGAGAATAAAGTTGCTTAGTGGGATATAGTCTAGGTTTTTTTAGAATAATCCTTACAATATGGTTCTGCACCACTTTTAACTGCCCAAGATTTGAACCGTACACCCCAGCCCACACAATTATGCCATACACCAATAGTGGCACCACAAGTGCTTTGTAAATCATTAATAGTAGTTTAATGTTCAGTATATTACGAAGAGCGTAGAATTTATGAATGAAAAATCTATTTTTTTTGCTCAAATACAGCACATGTCGGTCCCACTTCAAGTGCTTATCAACAACAACCCCCAAATATTTTATTTCATTTACTTCTTTCAAAGGCTCATCAATATTATCAAGTTTAATTTGATTAAATGCTGGTCTATTAGCCATGGTTATAGAGAAGGCAATGTAATGAGTTTTTTTATATTCAGAGTTAATTTAAATGTGTCCAGAAGGTTTTTTATTTTTGCAAAATCAGTCTTCAATTTTTCACCCGTTGATTCCCATGTCTCTCCATGAAACAGCACCACGGTGTCATCAGCATAGGCAATTACATCGCCATCAACTGCAAGACTGCAGAGGTAATTTACATATATATTAAAAAGAATTGGCCCAAGTACTGTACCCTGTGGAACTCCATGCTGAACCGTCTTAGGTTCACTTAGAACGTCCGCAATCCTGACACACTGAATCCTATGCATTAAATAATCTCTAAATACACTTAATACAGCACCCCTAACTCCATGTCCCTCCACTGCTTGGAAGAGCATAGGATGAGATACCGTGTCAAATGCCTTTGCTAAATCCAAAAACAAAGCGATGCACTTATCACCGTTATTTAAATGATACATTATTTTAGACGCTAATTCATAAACCGCATGTGATGTGCTTAAACCTTGTCTAAAACCAAACTGATTCTCAGATAACAACTTATTTGAGTCCAAGAATGCAACCAATCTAACCTTAAGGAATTTTTCAAATATCTTTGCTAAATTTGAGATTATACTCATTATACTGGTCTATAATTACTTATATATTCTTTATCTCCTGCTTTGTGAATAGGTGATACTACAACCGATATTTTAAATTGTTTAGGTACTTTGCCCGTTTTGAATGTTTTAAATGTTATATTTCGTTTAGCTTATTGAGAAGCCTTTTTGTGATTGCTCAAATTGCCTAGAGTGCGTAGAATTCGCTGGGTGTCCTAGCTAAGTGACTTTGTGAGGGGTCGGTTAAGACTTCTGGCTCTGAGAGACAGATTCAGTAGTACTCATCTCATTCCATACCAAAACACCATCCAAAACGCAAGACTATGCCAGACTGCATGTTGCCAGAGCATCGTTAGCCTTGATGGATCAACATCTCATCAACCGCTTATCTTGGCCACCACGATCGCCTGACCTATCTCCAATTGAGCATGTTTGGAGCATGATAGGTCGCAGGCTCTTGAATTTACAACACCCTCCACAGACTTTAGCAGCTCTTACTCACGAAGTTGCAGTAGCCTGGAATGAGATACCCCAACAGGTCATCGACCACGATGTCCAGGCGTGACACTGAGTGTATAAGAAAATCACACATTATTGAACCAAAATCTGCAGTCAGTTGACGAATCAAGCTGAAAAAAAATCAATTAATCAAAAGAAAAAAATGCAATAGAGAAACTATCAAAAGAGCGAATAACTGCTATGATTTGTGCTAATGCTTCTGGTACTGAAAAATGTAAACTATTGATAATATGTAATATGTAATTGAAATGCATGTTCTAATTTTGTTGATATTCAATGGCAGTGCTGCAAAGAATTTATTACCTTTTTTTATTTCAGGAAAATTTAAGAATCCCAGGTGTTTCAAAAATGTTAAAATAATTTCCGTCGATTATGCTATAAATAATAAAGCTTGGATGACTTCATCAATATTTGAAGAATATTTAAAAAGTGGGACGGTGAACTTGTTAAGAGAAATCGTAAAATTTTGCTATTGGTCGATAACTGTCCGCTCATCCTAATATTTCACTTAATAACATCAACCTTCAATTTTTTTTCACCCAATGTGACATCTGTTCTGCAACCAATCGACCAGGGTGTCATTTGGAGTCTTAAACCAATGTATTGGAAATATATGTTGATGAAAATTATGGAGCTTCAAGATGTCAACATTATCAAAGCTGTCACCATGTTAGATGCTATAAATTTGCTTACTATTGCATGAGAGTTGGTTACTCCAGAAACGATTCGTAATTGTTTTCGCCATGCCGGTTTAGTGAAAAAAATTACTGAAATAGTCAACGATTTTAATCCAGAAGATGAAATTCTATTTACTGAAAATTAATAGTTTACTGAATATCGACAAATTTAATGAGTGACAATAATTTAATAGCAACAGACAATTTGGTTAATGAAAGATCCGTTGAACAGGAAGACGAACTAGAAAACAACGATGAAGAATAGCTTCCAGTGACAACTAAGGAGGCATCAGACTGTGTGAAAAAATTGCAACGCTATTTTCAGCAAGAAGAAGACAATACAGCCACACTTACCAAATTAATTAAAATTCAACTTGCTGTTCTAAATAATTATACAAAAAAGAATCTATTCAAATGAAAATGACTAGCTTTTTACCAAATAATTTACGGTTTTTACACATACCTACACAATACGTATGCCTTGGATATGTGTATCAGATTCTGAAAAAATTCAAGTTTCAAAATTACGTATAACTTTTTTGTATGTATCTTTATTTATGTAATGTAATGTTAAACAAACACATTTTAAACTTTTAATATGTTATTTCTGCTGCTTTTTTCATTAACAAAAGTCTTTTAAGATAGTCATCCGCCTATAATAGACTATTTGTCACAGTCCCGCCGAGTCCATTATAAGCGGGTTGCACTGTACGCAGGTGTTTACCTTTTTTGTCACTAAGTATAATATGTATCTCTGATGGTTTTGATCCAATAAATGATGTTTATAAAAAATCCATTAACTTTCATTCTCTGGCATCATGTTACATGAGGAGTTGATCAAAAACAAACTAAGATGTAATATTTGCTCAATTTATTAACACAATAAATAAATAAATATATACAACATAACACGTTTTATTCCTACATGACTTTAATGGTAGTAGTGTCCGTGAGATGGCGCAGCATACGTGTACTTGGCGACAGGGGCAGCGTAAGCCAAGGGAGCGGCATAAGCTACAGGGGCAGCAACTTTAGCGACCACAGGAGCTGCGTACTTGGCAACAACTGGTACTGCGGCTTTTACAACTGCGGTTCCTTCCTTGTGAACTACCGCATTGAAACCGTTGTGGTCATCAGCTGTGTATTCTACAATGCGCTTGGTTCCGTCAGCTTCGATGAGGGAGTAGCTGCCGTGGACTGCGTCACCCTCACGGTGCTCGTGCTGTTCCTTGCTGTCGCCTGCAATTCAAAACGGTCTTAATTAAAGTGGACTACGTCAGTTCAATTAAGGTCAAAGCTTGTTTGGATGGATGGATCACATAGTTCCTAACTAACTGTTTGTTGACCAATAGAACTGTTGATTTATTCGAGGCTTATAACATATCCCGATTCACCGCACATAACGTATCTTTTGAAAGTATTTGCAGTGATGAACTATTTCGACAAGAGTTCAGACCTCAAAGGCTTGTTATACCCTCTCCAGACTCGGCGCGGATCGCGGTGCGAATCCCGAAAACTGTTCCTACAGTTCCACACTCGCAGATGTTCGCCCCTGATTCACAGTATAGTTTGCGCTCTTGACGAGTATGGATGATGAAATTGTTGCAGGGCTACTTTGCGCTTTGGCAATTTAAAATTACGCAGATATAAGTAAAACTAAAACAATTGAAAAGAAGTGGAAACAACACAACCATTCCCGTCACTCGCTATGAGGCAACTGGAACACCAGCGAATGAGGAGCCTGAGCCTAGCCATGTTCGCATCTTGCGAATCCTTTGTTACGGGACAAAAAACCGATAACAAACGGGAACAACGCGCGAACGCGACGTGAAGCCGCGAAGAATACGCGAATGGAATCCACACTCATGGGTCGCGGGTAGTTCGCGTGCGATTCGCGGGTAAGTCTGTGTATGTACACAAAAATTCTATTTCACGGACTACAGACCAAACGGCTTGATGCTTTTTGACATAAGTGTCGATATAAGGCTGCGCAAAGCGCCATCTATCTCACCAGAATCGATCACTGCGGAAAACGCATAGCTGCTATTAGTTGGTGCTTTTAGGAATCTTAGATCGCCTTCAGTAGTCGAGTCACCACGTGACCGCTAGATGGCTGACGATTCTGGCTGTGAAGTGGTCTACTTTGCATTGCATAAACTAAAACGTGTTTTAGTATATGAAGGGTCGTTATATTCGTCTCACGAGTGTAAGCGACACTGGCTATATTAGGATTTTGTAAAAACAAATTTGATGAATTTGATAGAAAAATAATCCTACAAATTTCTATTTCACAGGCTACAGCTTGAACGGTTTGATAGATTAGTCTTGACTGTGTGAGCGACACTGGGTATAGTAATATTTTATAGAATTAAAATGGTCCATTTTAATCTAAAAGTCTAATTCTACGAGAGACAATTTATATGGCTTGATGAGTTTTGGCTTGAGAGGTAGTATATTTTCAGTTTCTGCAGTTAGGTTGCTTGTGTTTTTGAAAATGTACTGATCGCGTGATGCCGTCGATTCTGGCCGTACAGCAGATATGATCTACTCGCCATTGAACAAACTACAAAGTAATATTGCTTTCGTTCATCCGACCACAGATGGGCAACCATGAACAGGCTGTGATCTGTCGAACGATTACTAGTTTGTTCAATAGCGAGTAGACCATATCTAGAATAGTACCGGAATCGGAAGTATCATTCATGACACGGCTGACGATGCTGATGAGTTCACAAAAAGCAGAAATCATCTGTCTGGGGACGTCTTACTGGTTCCTAGGTACTGTTTGCTACTATTATACCTTGTTGAATCGATGTTGTTAAATCTATAAGCAAATTCCAGCTTTCTCTAAACACTCACCGGTATGAGGATCCTGCACATTGTAAGCGAATTCGTACTGAGCTGGGGCATAGTATTCCTCATGTTCATGGTGATGCGGGGCAGCGTACGCTACCGGAGCAGCGTATTTGACAACTGGCGCTGAGTATTTGACTACAGGTGCGGCGTATTTGACTACCGGTGCTGCGTATTTGACTAGAGGTGCGGCGTATCTGATTGGAGCGGCATGGTGGACATCAACAGGCGCAGATACGCTGGAGTACGACACTGCAGTGGCATCGGAGTAGTGCTGAGCATGGTGAGGTTCGTAACCGATGACTCCAGCATTGGCTACAGCTACAAAAGCTGCGAGAACTACGAACTGCAAGAAAATACATTATTTACTCAATTTTAAAAAAATTGCATTTCTATAAATTTTAATTGCATTCCTAAACTTGGTGTTTGTACGTTTCTTTTTTGAATTTGAACCACCACGACGGCAACTGTAGGGCTTTAAGCGGATATTGATGGAAAGACTCGAGCGAGGGAACACGTGTGCATGTAACAAGCACATACTCCGGTCCCACTAGAAAGATCCGCCGGGTGGTACCTCCACGTTCAACAGTCTGAGACCTACTACTACCTACGGACCAACACAACATCCATAGTCAAAGGAAAAATGCTCTTGGGACGGGATTCGAGCCCACGCAGCTCACGGCGGCCAGATTAGTAGACGTCAGCGTTTTCAGTGTATGTCAACATTCTCAAGAAATGCGTAGCTTTTAATGGATTTTGGTCATTTTGGACGTAGTCAAACCGTTTTTCTAAAGAAGTCCATATCAAACAAAAGACAGAAGTACGCCTTATTCGTCCTAATTGCTATAGGATGCAGCCAAAAGACGTTAGAGGTACACAAAACTAAATAACTAAAAAAATGTATTCTGTATTTCTTGAATTCACAAGCTTTTGAATTTCAATTACGTATATAATTGTATTACATCGGGCAATTTATTTGTCTCCATTCTTTTGAATCTGGGACCTATCAATTAGTGTCTTACATGAGCATTTCCTCTTTTGTTTATTTTTTACAAGTTACTATCTTTTCTACAGGTTCTGATATTATCTGCAGTGAATCAAAAAAATCCTTGCTCAAACTCATTCTCAGGTAATTTACAATAAGTTGAAATAACGCATATATATCTAAGTAAAGAGCCAACGCCCTATACTTAGCAAAATAAAATTTTATGGAATTTTTATTCTATAGTTTAGTAGAAATTCCAAATGACAATATATGCAAAACAATTCGTAAGGACTTAAAAATATAAAAATCAGAAAGCCAGCAAAATAATATTATACACCTATTTCAAAATTCTAATAATACTCCACCACAAGAACTTTATCCACCCCCAAGAAACCCGGTAATTGTTTTCAGTTACAACAACTCGCTAAAGTGACCTACTGAGAATTTTTAATGACTAAGAAAAATCCATTAGGCCGGAAAGCTAGTCTGCCAAATTGACAACACAGATAAAGTTTCCTAACCATGTATTTAATACATTAAGTAAAACACCCCTAAAAACCACCACCTTTGGTACTTACTTGGAAAGCCATGTTAGTGATTTTTTTGAACGTTTGATGTGTACTAATGCTAAAAAATGAAGTGACACCTTTTATATGAATGGGATCCAGACGTTTAGGCGTGGCGTAAAACATGCTTTCACCGTCTTCCAATGTCTGCACATGTTATAATTCTAATATTCTGAGTATCGCGACCTAGACCTGCATTCAATACGATCTTGTCTAGTACATTAATTACTTACATAATATATGAATGTATTTGCTGTACGTACGTATTGATCCAGGTCCATTAGAATCATGCTATGTGTAGTTATCATTGGAGGAAAATCGTTTAGTATAAAAGATCTTCTCAATATTGTAGTTTTTGCGGGTGCCATACTTATACAAATATTGCAGAATTAAAAAAGATGAGGTGACTGTACTACGGGGCCAGAGGATCCAATAATAATAATAATAGTAATAATAATAATGGTTTATGCACAAGATATGCTTACAGTGGTACAGAATAACATAGATATACAATGAGATAATAATAAATAACAAACAATAGACAAACAAAGGCAAAATATGGACACTAGAAGGGTATAAAACAAAAAAGGAAAGCTATATCATATCGGAAATTCAAAACAGATGAATTCCAGAAAGTCATAGAAAGGTCTCGAAAAAATGAAATTCTTCATAGACCCGCTAAAATCATCAACATCTAGACCTCTTATATGATGAGGTGAGACATTGAAAAGATTCAACTCAAGCGGGTTAACGCCATTTTTGAGTTCAGTGATCCCGTGATATTTCATGTAACAGTTTATCTCATTTCGAGTATTATATGAATGAATTTCTTGGTGTGTTGCGTGATTGTGAGGGTTGGCCTCGACATGAATGAGGCAGTGATAAACGTAAGCAAGATCGTGATTCTTTGTTTTATGAATTCCTCTGTAAGGGATCTTTGTACTTTATGTTTGCCGTGTACCCAACACACCTCTCTACTCGTATCTGGTGATTACCTCATGCTAGGATAGCATACGTAATTTTACTATATCATATGCGTGGTAACTAGATAACAAGATTTTTTACGATACAGAATTTTTAAGATTACGAATTAAATAAATAATTTTTGTTGATGATATGCTTACATAATTATTGTATTTATCCTAGTTTAAAGTAGCATTGATGTATTTGTATATACCAAGGAACTCAACTGTCCCCACATGGTTATCAGCTACATCATGGTTCCTTAGAGTCATGGATTGAGTTTTGTATGAATTCAAACTCCAACTTATTGCTTACAAAGCAATCCGGAATGTAGGACTCACAAGCGGAAGTTGGTAATGGATATGTCAGTCGAATTAACAGTTGTCATCGGGATAAGTATAGAATTAGCTTGTAATTCGTGTTGTTTTATAGGTGTATATAGTCAGAATAACAGTGGGCCGAGGACAGAGCCTTGTAGAACACCATGGATAACTGAGCTGATTGAGGATACGCAGCCATTGTATTCCACGAATTGTTGCAAGTCTTACAGATTCCGAGAGCAGGACACTTCTTAACATAAGTCGAAAAAATGAAATGATAACTTTGAGAGAAAAATGTATTGTAGGTAAAATATTTCCCCATTAATGCTGTGAGTTTATGTTATTTCTCCACTGGTAGTTTTTAGTAGTATCAAACTATATGATTGTAGCCCCCCAAGACAGCTGAGTTGTGTGATTTTGCGCTTTACACTCACCGAAGTCATAAGAGTACATCTCTACTCCTCTTCCACCTGCATAGCACAATGTTATATGCACCAATTTTGTCCCATTAGAGACCATGTTACTGCACTGGAAACATCTTTTTACCATTTGAAATCATGGCACCCCAAAATAGGTTCTGAAATCCTTAAATCATCTTATTTCGTACAATTAGTACTCGGGAATCGTCAAAATTTGGGTATCACATTATAGTTGACTAAATTTATCCTATAATTGTTGTACAAAACGTTTCCTGTGTATTTCTCATATATACTAAGTGACGTATAAATCCGAACACCCAGTTTAAATGGTTTTATTTTAATAAAAGTTGGTGAATGTATTTATCTTACTGTAAATAACAAGTGAAAAAATTTTCAGCCTTATCAGTTGGACATTCCGGTTTTTATACTGCTTTTTTTTAATTCACTAACGCTCTAAAAATGAATATTTCAGCCGCAGTAAAGAATCAACGTTGGCGGATTTTGGTTCTTGACATCCTTTACGATCGGTTTCGATGCCTAGAGTACGGAGACCTGTACGATTTCGTCAACTTAGTGAGTTTGATAGGGGCCGTATAGTGGGACTTCGGGAAGCTAGACTTTATTTTCGGACAATTGCAGTTAGAGTGCAAAGAAGTGTAGAGACACTGTGGTTAGGTGTTGTCAGGCATGGCTTCGAGAAGGCCGTACGCAAAGAGCAAGGTGCACTGGACGCCGCCGTAGAACAACAGACCGTGAACATCGCCGCCTAAGATTATTGGCCTTAAGGGACCGTTTCTCCACTACCAGGTCCATTGTAACTGAATGGTTTGCAGCACACGGAAGACCTATTGGCATGCGAAGTGTTTAACGACGAATGAGAAGTTTTGGCTTGTTTTCATACCGGCCACACTTGGTCCTCTCTTTAACTCGAGAACACCGACGTAACCACCTTGAGTGGTGCAGACAACGGTCACTCTGGGATCAGGAATGGAACAGTATTGTCTTTAGTGACGAGTCTCGACTTTGTTTAGGCATGCACGATGGTCGTGCCAGGGTTAGAAGGCGACGTGGTGAAAGGAGGAATCCACAGTTTTTTGTTGAAAGACATGTTCATCACACTGTTGGAGTTATGGTTTGGGGTGCTATAGCTTATGGTTCCAGGTCACCTTTAATCTTCATCAGAGGTAACATGAACGCGCAGCGTTATATCCACGTTATATCCATCTTGACACCCTGGCAGATCCAACTTTCCAACAAGATAATGACCGACCACATGTTGCAAGAGTCACAATAGACTTCTTTCAACATAATGATGTCACATTGTTACCATGGCCACCAAGATCTCCCGACTAATCCCCAATTGAGCACGTGTGGGATATGATGGGTAGGAGATTGCTCAATTTGCAACGTCCTCCTCAGACTCTAGAAGCACTTCGAGAGGAGTTGGTGGTTGCCACAGGAGGACATTGACCACCTGATCAGAAGCATGCCTAGGCGCGTTGGAGAATGCGTAGCACATCAGGGTGCATCCACACATTATTAAAGGTCAAAGGGCATTAAAGCAGTGCAATAATTTTGAAATTTTTATCATTTACTTATTATGCTTCATTAAGTACTTATACAAAATTTTATTAAAATAAAACCATTTAAACTGAGTGTTCGGATTTATATGTCACTTAGTATACATCGTTACAAACGACAAAAAAAATATGTTTTTCAAGTGTTACATTCACTTTTTTTTCATTCTCAGTCATCAATCCGTAGTATTCGATCAGACACATTTCAACAATTTTTTGAAATAGGTGCTTCTAGTACTTGGCCTTGTACTGAATTTGCAGAAAATACGATTTTTACTATATTGATATTTTTTTTAAACAAATGCAAATATCTTGAGTCACGTCGCAAATAAATTCAAGCCAGAAAGGTTTGTTCTTTGTTCATGTCAAATGGAGTCAAGTTCTAAAATGCTTATCAATCAAAAAACAATATCTCTAAAAAACTAGTTACAACGTTGAAGTCTTCTTTCAAGACAAAAAAAATGGAGAAAAACCATTATACAACATTAATAACGCACAGATCAGATTTAAATGTATCAATATGAAGCACTTCATGAGTTGAAAGCATTCATATTACATTAAATCCATAAGCAATTGGTAAAACAAGTGTTCAAAGCTACATTGGTGGTTACAGCTAGCTTAGCGGCAAAACGGCATGGCCGAAAACAAAGCAAAATTGAGAAAAAATCGCATGATCAAAGCATCAAAATAAAGACAAACAGATTATTCAGCAAGGTTAAACAGTATTTAGTTTTGCATTTTCCGAAGATCATGTCATCTGCTTAAATTTTACACACTTGTGTCTAATTTCTAGTTGTCCTGGACTATTGTCGGGTGGATTCCAGTTGAAATGGGAAGTTGCAGCGGAATTTCGTAGTTATTTGTGTTTATTGTTTCCTCCAGATTATTGCTTTTTGTAAACATAATAATTGTAATAGCGTTTTGTTAGCAAATAGTGACAGGTAATGCCTCGTCGCCCGGATCGCAGACGGAAAGAAGCTTAAAGAATTTAGCGTGAGGTCATTCATAGGTGTTATACGTATATGATTGTAATCGTAGATTTCATGACGATTAACGTCATTGGAGTAAGTTGAATAAATTAAGGAAATAATCTTGGAATGTTACCAAAGGAGAAATAAGCTTCCCAAAAGGAAACAAGTTCTTACACACTTTCGTACGTTTTTCGAATTTATAGTATGGTTTAGTAATTTGAAAAATGCTCTCAATTGTTTCTGATGATCCTCGAATATTTGCTTTATTGCAGACCTTTTCCAAATTTTGGTTACAATTTTTCATATTTCTGAAAACTGAAAACTACAGGGAAAGCGGAGTAAGGATGTGATATTGGCTACCTAAATCTACGTACGAGCATAAGACTACATGGAATTGAGCTGTTAGGTTTATTTTTGGTTCCAGCTCTTTTTCGAAATATCTGAATTATTTTATTTGTAGAATCGGGGACGCTTTGCGATGAAATGAAGGAGAATATAGGATATGTGTGTTCAATTATCTGCAAAAATCTATTTTTGTAAATGATAAAATTATCTATAACTGACATCTAACCCGCTAGTCACTTGATCGATTGCTCTTAGTCATAAAAAGACAAGGTCCGCGCCAGTAAATAATTACAGGTTTACAGGGTACCTGAATGAGTGATCTAATAGAGTTTGCGTCAGTGAAATCGACATTTATACCATGTTTGTACACGCGAATATTTCATACAGAAGGAAGTCCTTCATTGTTCTATTGCCCACGCCCATTCCTTTCCTGTTGGTCTGGATAATAACTGGGTTCAAGCGATGGTTGGTCTTTAAGTTATATTAAAAAAGTGAGTGACTAATCGCTTTACACTGTATATTAATCATCTGACCACCACAATCCTGTATGCGCTTCTTTGATTTGCAGTCGTGACTCTAGGTAGAATGGATTTTATCTATTTATCTATTAAT